TGTAATAATATTTGTTTGGAAATAGTAACAAAATGCAAGATGGAGTAACTTTTTTTTTCATAATCCACGTTTATACATTTTGAACCTGATAAAAGGCATACATTTTGTAATTCTGTACACCACTAGAAACATGAAAAATACCTACTATCCTATCCAACAATCTTAACGTTATAATTTTGTGCTCAAAACGTATTTTGGTGACTCAGTAAATACGTATTTAAAAAAAAAAAATTAAAATAACGTAATTTCAAATAAGTATATACAAACGAAACGTTGCCGCAACGCTGTGTCAATTTACTTTCACAACGTTCGCAAGTGTTATAAAAACGTTTTGTATTTGCTGGGGTGTATAATATAGGGCCTAACGACATAGTTAAATAAAAAAAAAAAAAAAATTATGAAAATACATAATTGTGAAAAAAAAAAAAAAAAAAAAAAAAATCCACCGGTAAATCAGGATATGGCAAAAGGTAAAGGGTAGGAGAATAACTCATAACTTGTAGCGTCATTGTGCTGAATTGTGTATGGCCGGGCGTGGTCCGTGACTACCTAGCACCGTAAAAAGAGGTGCTTACAGTACTTGCGCGAATAAGCGCCACGTTTGAATAAGGCCCCTCGATTCCTAAACAATTCAATCATACAGTAGAGTACAGTACATCACGGACGTATCGGGGGAGGGGGGTGGGGAGCTTGTTCTTGAGCCAATACAAATTCTTTCCTGGGATCACTCCAAATAAATACTTCTAAAACATGTAAATATGCATCAGTACACGTTATAGTCCTACATATAGGTAGTGGCGGCTCTAGTATATATTTTCTGGGGTAGGGGGGTTTTGTTGTCCGACAGGGGGACTTGAGCTCGTAGGCTCGAGCTGGGATAAGGCGTTGAGAGGGGTTCCCCCTCCCAAATGAGATTTTTTTAAAAAGAATATCAACCTCTAAATGGCCGAAAATGGCACTCTCAGACTGTGACAGACATGTGTTGGCTTGGTGTGGGCCTATTTTTATACATTTTATGGTCTGACTGCCCGACGAGCTCTGTAATTGTTAATAAGCTGTATCTTAATTTTGCTTTGTAAATGTTAATTGATGATTAAATGTGTGTTCAATATTAAACTAATATAGTCCTAATGCGAGCTTTTTGTGTTTTCATTACCAGATGTTGTGACGACACTTCTGTGGTACTTTATAAGTTAAGGCAATTTTTTTCTTTCTCTGAGATTCTGATGTTGAAATATTCTATTCCTCTCCCTACTATAATTCATTGTACAATAGTTTACAGTAATGAATTTCTTATTATTTGTGATACATATAATGTTTGGTTTGTTTAACTGGAGGTCGTGGGTTTGATTCTCCCCCATATAACTTGCGAGACTTTTTCGCAAGTATTTGGGTAACATACATTATGGGCAAAACATCATTCATAAAGAAATTTGTTTGCATGCTTATCTTTTGAAAATGTAGCCACAAAGGTGCAACCTTCTCCACTCACTTTTAGGGTATTTCAGGTGTGATACCATTGCACGTACACCACACCACACCGTATACCTCCTGGGTGGAGAAATCAATAGATCATTTAAGTTTTATCATAGAGTAAATGACTGGAGACTGTTTCATCGACAGTAAATTAAACACAATTGATGTAAACTTCAGTCATAATAAGAATACCGGATGAAACTGTTCGAGTAAAATCCCACATTGCCACAGCTAATTTCAACACCATGCCATACCACACTAATCAAGACTTAACTGTACTAACGAGGGTGACAGAATTCGCGATTAAAAGCTTTACAACGATTTCAGATGCTTCAATTCAACTCAAATGAAAATATCAGTACACTAACAATCAATTTCCAACACCATTTTTACTTCAAATTCACACTCCCTGTATAATAATCAAGAACTCTGGTAATAAAGAATTTCAATACATCTAAACAATTATACAGGCCCTATATTGTTGATCATATCAACAGACTGTCTCAAGAAGTTTAATAATTATTGTTAACTCGCATATAAATAGGACGAACTTGCTATCTTTATGTGTTGGATATGTAAATGAATACTAAACTTGGATGTGGACTAGGAAATCAATCAACTTGTATTGAAATAAGAAACACATAGAATTATTATAAATACAAATTATGTTCAATAGGCCATTGCTGCTAACTCTCTCCACATATCTATTTTCAAAATGTGGTGCCCCCCCAAAACCCCTGTGTAGTCTTAACATAGACCTATATTAAAGCACATAACAAGAATGCATGCTTTGAAAAGTTTGGATCAAATATTTGTAACACACACAGCAATAGATATGGCTTTGTAGTAACAGAAATCAAGTGACGTTATTCTTCTGTGCGTTCAATGCCCGCAACCGTTATTTAACTGTAAAATTTGAGCCAAATATCTACATAAGGAGAATTCTGTTCTAAATCTATTTAACAAAGAATCAGCCAATGTTGCATTAATTGTGTATATTCTTGTGCATTAACAACTTAAACAAAGTGTTATTTTGGGGAACAAATTGTCAATATATTGACAAACTCAAATTCGATTATGATAATTATGCATGCCTAGTAATTGTTGTCTGCAAAATCGACGGCTTTTCCTAACATAGAATGTTAAAAATGATTACCAGACTATAAGTCACGGGGCCGTGGTAAATTAGGCCTAAAAATTGTCTCCACATTTAAGAAAGGCCAATTTCCGCGCACATTTTGCATAAACAAAGTCTGGATATATTACAAACCATAATATTACGCAGAGCACTACTTACAATTCGCACCAATATTCCCAGCGATTTTCCGCGCAATTTAGAGTTATTTTTTAATGTATCTCCACGGAAATGAAATACCGTATTTTACAGTGTGAGATGATTATACAACATGATTACTTACGTTGTACTGGAATCTATTGTATCAGACATTCCTGAAACGTACAGTACATGTACAATAGTAGGCCTAATAATTAGATTCTTCGAAGAGTAGGCCTAGTCATATCATCTCACTGATATCGAATGTTAGCCGGTTGATTATTTCCCAACAGATTTTATTGAATGTAAACAGTGCCAGACAATCTTCTCTTCCAGTCAGCCAATTATCCGATCTTCCTTGTTCGATTGTTCACCTCTCGAGTAGATGTTGAATTCTCATATTAATCGACGATCCACTGGACGTGCCGTATACCTCCTGGGTGGAGAAATCAGTAGATCATTTAAGTTTTATCATAGAGTAAATGACTGGAGACTGTTTCATCGACAGTAAATTAAACACAATTGATGTAAACTTCAGTCATAATAAGCATACTGGATGAAACTGTTCGAGTAAAATCCCACATTGCCACAGCTAATTTCAACACCATGCCACACCACACTAATCAAGACAGAATTCGCGATTAAAAGCTTTACAACGATTTCAGACGCTTCAATTCAACTCAAATGAAAATATCAGTACACTAACAACCAATTTCCAACACCATTTTTATTTCTAATTCACACTCCTCAATATTAGAATACGTTGTTTTTAATAGTCTTATGTACACAGTACTAATCAAAAACTCTGGTAATAAAGAATTTCAATGCATCTAAACAATTATATAGGCCCTATATTGTTGATCATATCAACAGACTGTCTCAAGACGTTTAATAATTATTGTTAACTCGCATATAAATAGGACGAACTTGCTATCTTTATGTGTTGGATATGTAAATGAATACTAAACTTGGATGTGGACTAGGAAATCAATCAACTTGTATTGAAATAAGAAACACATAGAATTATTATAAATACAAATTATGTTCAATAGGCCATTGCTGCTAACTCTCTCCACATATCTATTTACAAAATGTGGTGCCCCCCAAAACCCCTGTGTAGTCTTAACATAGACCTATATTAAAGCACATAACAAGAATGCATGCTTTGAAAAGTTTGGATCAAACATTAGCAACACACACAGCAATAGATATGGCTTTGTAGTAACAGAAATCAAGTGACGTTATTCTTCTGTGCGTTCAATGCCCGCAACCGTTATTTAACTGCAAAATTTGAGCCAAATATCTACATAAGGAGAATTCTGTTCTAAAACTATTGAACAAAGAATCAGCCAATGTTGCATTAATTGTGTATATTCTTGTGCATTAACAACTTAAACAAAGTGTTATTTTGGGGAACAAATTGTCAATATATTGACAAACTCAACATTTTTTTTTTGTAGCAATACCTTAAATAGGAAAAATATAATTTTCAAATCTGGTATATATAAATAAATAAAAAAAAAAAAAAATAAATAAAAAATAAAAAAAATAAATAAAAAAAAAAAAATATATATATATACACCTATATAAACTAATTGTTCATACACTTAGTATAATATGAGATATAATAATATTAAAGGTATCAAGGTGTAGTAAGATTTAAGATGTTCATTGGCAGAAACAAAAACAAGAGGTTGCTAAATTTAAGTCCAACAGATACTATCTACATTGTATAGTAGGTTGAATAAGGTAGAGTATTCTAGTTCTTAATATACAAGGATATGACATCCCTTTGTAATGCAATGGTTAACACTGACATATTGTGTAAAAAAAAAAAAAAAAATTAAGTAGCCGAACATCATTAAATCAAAGAGTACAAATAGAACAAGAGAGCCAACAACGCCCATTGAGAGCGTAAAAAAACGATACCCCCTACACAGCTAGTGTAGGACACCAACTAATGCTTGTATGTGTTTTATTACCCAGTACTCCACCGTGCACGGTCGGTTTGTCTGTTTATCTGCTCTCCACAAGATACTGTACTTTTGTTTTCTGCTTACTGAGTTTATAGCGGGCGTACTTCTACAGCGCTGCGCAGCGCTGCACTGGGTAATAAAAAGAATATACAACTGTTAGTGGGCGTCCTACACAGGCGTGACGTTTTTACAAACGGGACTTTGTTCTCTTGTTCTATTTATACTCTTTGATTAAATATAGATTAAAAAAATATATATATGAATTTACACAAATCAAAAGTGATATAGTATTTAATTAATTGTTGTACATTTAAGTACATACTATATTATGAGTATTAGATATTAATTTCATGTGGACAGGCATGTTGTACACATTGAGAACAAAATTTTCCAAAACTGTAAAAAACTAATTTGATTTCAAGACGATTGATTATTTTTCAGTTTTGATAAACCATGTACATTATAGTGACCTTGATTTAAGGGCTGTCTTGACTATCAAATTTTATTTTACAAAAACATATGGCCATGATGACATCACGTCATGACCATATATAGACAAATCCTGACTATATTGGGCCATACATTTTTTTTTTTCCAAAGAAAATTTGTTGTTGCAGACTTTTTGTGTGGTATAAAATACAAAGTGATTGACAACCAATTCAAGCTTCCAAAATCTACGTTGATTGTGTTAGACATTGTGTTTGATTGTGTTAGAGACTCTAATGTGTTTACAAAACTAAAAAACGAGAATCTTTTATTGAGCTGTGACCATTTGTGTACAATATTACTAGACCAGCTACTCACAAATACAACAAATGAAAGGGATGTTACAGTTTACAGATAAGAAATCTTAAGTAACTTGTAAATAAATTGTATGGAAAATATGAAAGACTGTTGAAAAAAATAAATAAGTACATTTATTTCACTATAAATTAAGAATGAGCAAAACTCATCACTAAAACAGAAATATATCAATTCTTAATTGTAGAACAAAACAAATGTAAAATGTATATCAAAAGCAAAATGCAACTCAACTATTGTAAAAAACTAGTCCAAGATATTAAAAGTAAACTATGTTTAAAAAAAACTATAACCTGACAAAAAAAGTCCCTGAAAAACATTGCACAATGTTCATATACGGTGGTACTTTTTAAAAGTGCTATAATATGTGTTCTAAATTTAGCAGAAATGAAAAAAAAAATGTTTTTGTGCTACACAAAAATCTACTTTCTATTTAAATTAGGAAAATTACAGGAAGACAGATAATTTCGAGTGTTTTTAAAAATGAAGTGAAATTCGAAAAGCATTGTTCAAAACAGTCATAATAAATATTTTTTAGAATAATGGAAAACATTTTAAAAATCTATCAATCTTTTCATATTCGAGAGATTGATGCAGAAGTTGTGATTCAGGGTCTCATTTTCCTAGGCACCAACATCAACCTTGTCAGGATATTAAAGTAGCAGTGTTAAAGAACAAAAAGAATAGGACCCTTGCCAACCCCTTGGTTAGGCATCAGTGCAGTCTGATCATGCCTTCAGAAAGGCATAGTGGCGTATGGTGCTCGATGATTGGGTGAGCTGGCTCAAAAAATAAGATGATTTGAGGTTAATTTTTTAACTGGCTTCGAACAGTTTCAATGGGGGTTGACTATTAAGGGTACAAATATTTGTTTTGGGGAGTTATCTCCACCCATGTACTCCTTAAATGCGCCACAGGAATGACATACATGTGGCCAGGTTCTGCTGTTTGGCATTTGTAGCCTAAGCATTAGGTATGTTGGGATGACTGCTAAGCTCATTATCAGGACCACCTTTCTCCCAAGCACCGGATGGCGATTTAGGCGGCGTTCTATGACGGGCTGCAATCTTGTCTTGCTTTTCTTGTTGTGCCTTACGGTGACCTCCCTTGATGCCTGGGTCAAGCTTGTTGAGTCTCATTAACAGAAAATGTTTGTCTCGTCCTTCCTATGAAATTATTGAAATCATATGATCAAAAATAATTTGAAGAAATGGAAATAAATGTTATTACGGAATTAAAGTGGTTTATTGCAGAAAACACATCATCAAAGCATAAAAAAAGTATAAATGCACAAATAAATGGCCTTGTTAAATAAAAATGTTTATGCAAATAAATACAATTGGATACAATGTGGATGAAAACACACCTGGACACTTGTGTGCAGACAGCAATGGGCCAAAGTCCTCCACAAGTCACAAATATCTCTCAAAAATCAAGACAACCTCCCACATTCCCGAAAGAAATTTGTAAAAATCTCCCAGTAACTACACCTCACGTGAATTCATTATATTCACATGTTTTTATTACTGTGTTGCCTCCCGGAAGTCAGCTACTGATGGGTATCACGACATGCAACAAAATAAAATTAGATGTGCTAGGAAAAATAATTTAACCAGATCTCTCAGAAGCAGCTTCTTCGAACTTAGGACTCCTGAGATACACACACCCACACACACCTCCTTCCACACTTCCCAACACACACATGTACAAACAAGGAAATGTGAAGTAACCCAGCAAAAACACACACAACTTTTTAAATACTGCCATTAACAGGGTGTATATGGTTCCTGCTGTGCAGAAGTCATGAATCTCCATGGCTATCAATGCTGTAGCCAACTACAGGGACAGTTGGGACTGTCCCACATAATTGTTCTATTGTGTCCACAAAGAATGGGTCCACATGGTTTCATGGTTATGTTTCTTAATTATTTTTTTTCATGTTTTATGCGCTATATAAGACGTTATTATTACTATTATTTTAAAAATGGGTCCAGATTTCTCATATTTTATGTAAAATGGATCAACTTTTAAGAAAATGGGTCGAGATTTCTCATATTTTGCATAAAATGGGTCAATTTTTAAGAAAATTGGTACAGGTTATCCATATTTTTGCAGTAAAATGAGACAATTGTTATGAAAATGAGTCCACATTATTTGAATTTACACGTACAATGGGTCCATCCTGATATTGTCCCACACAGTTTGAAAATCCTGGCTACAGCATTGATGGCTATCACCAGTTTAGTCGACTGAGCTAATCTGATCTCTGAGAGAATCTCCATGACTTGAAATACATTCAGTAACTACTGCCAGATTAGCTATGATGCTCTGTGCATCTGCATGGGTTTTACGTTTCAAGTTTGGCTATTAACTAGGCTATTATAGTAAGCTTTTCTCTTTCAGTGATGTGTAAGAAGTTTTGGATGGGTCATATAAGCTAAAAGCTTACCAACCGACCCAAAAACATCAAGCAAGCAATCAAGCAAGCAAGTAGAATATCAGCACTCACCATGATAAGCTGGTCTTTCAAAAGGACAATCATCTCCCTGTGAGCGGATGCTATTGCATGGTAATAATATAAAATCAAACTATAAAAAAAAAAAAAAAAAAAAAAAAAAATTATGAAAATTAGGTAATATATAGCTTGTGCAGTTATATTCGCACTCCTAGAAATTTGGCAGGCATAATGTTGGTCGGAATTCGTGTTACAGAATTATTGGTACATTAGATTTCAAACCCATTTGAAATTTCCCTGTGTCTGTCCCCATGGAACGAAATCTGGAAATCAGCTACTTTTAATATTTAATATTTTTGAATTTTAATATAATCGATCCAGAGATCTACATTTTTAAATTTTTTGTATACATCAAATATTATTTGACAGAAACATGTGACATATGTCTCGAATAGGTAGGAAATCAAGCGATCAACACTTCTTTGGAAAACCCTGTCCCGAATATCATATAGGCCTATTACTTGAGAAAAACATTTGACATTTCTAAATTTGGTCATGATGAAATTACATAATGACCTTAAATAGGTACATCATGACTATATATGGGCATACAACACATAGGCAAGTCGGGGGCTGCAGCCTACAGCCATAACATACATGCTGGTTCGACTGGCACGCTTGCCTCTTGCTCTGGAGGGGGGCAAGTCTTCTTGGATAGGGACTAAAAACCATAGGCAAAGTGAACACAATTGGCTTTATGTGCATTATAAAGAACTCTATACACCTTTAGAGATGAGTAGGGGGGTTACTCTGGTTTACTGGTCCATCTCACAGCTCCTGCCATTATCCAACACGAAAATACACTGTCATGCGATCTGTACTAGAATGTTCAATAGTGCTTGTCTGTTATGAAACAAATGTATTTTTATTACCATTTTCATATGCTGTGTGCATGAACTAATACACATCTCACAATTGCAAAACACAGTGTAATTTCAACTCACCATAAGACAATAGTAAAAGGAACGATGAACGCTACCGAGCCGATGAATTGCGTTACCTTCCGGACAACCAACGGCCAACCATCCACGGTATTCACTAAAGAATCCCACATCGAATCAAGGTCACGAAATGGACCACATCCTCTAGAGGGCAGCACCCTGTTAGAAAAAAAAAACATATTCAGGTAAACTATCTCATATTGATCGAAAGACATAATGTACTTGTAAATTGTATTTTGTGGAATGATGTGAACTCGAAGATATTAAGCACCTCTATACAGCTGATACAGTACTCGCGGACCACACCCATACGCAAGTGAGCGAGGTTGTGAATTATGGGTTATTCTCCTACCATTACCTTAATGATTTTATTTTATTGGACTTTCATCGAGAAATATAATTTTAATATTAATTCAATTCAACTTACTTGACCATCGAGTAACCGACAGGAATCACGCACAGCATAAAAGTTATCAGCAGTATTACCATGAAAAAATTGCCCGAACGAGAGGCACGGTACGGACGATTCGATGGGATCATGTTGTACAATAAACTCCATTTCTTCAGGTAGAAAAAGATGATGCATTTGAGAAGACAGATGGAGGGAAGGAGAGGAGAATAAAACGAACCAACCCTGAAGGAAAAAAAAAAAAATTCATATCAGAACCTTATTAAACTTGAAATATAAAATTAAATATTTTGAATGTTTTACTTTAAGTACAAATTTTTTTCAAACATTAAAGTTACTCTATTTAATTTCTTTAATGTGAAAGGTCGCGTCCCGACAAATACCTAAGCTTATGTTGCTTATAAATATAATTGTGTGGGGTGTGATTCATTAACTTATTTGGTGAAACCAATAAACATCTAACAACACAAGTGAAAAAGCAACTGACACGGGACAAATCTTCACATATTTACCAACATCTTGATTAGTCTAAACACTGCCGTGCTTTATCAGGCTCCAATTGTTTCAGTGTTTTAGACTCTGCCCACAGTAAATATCAGCTTAAGATCAAGGAGGCCCTCTATATTTATTGGGAACGACCTAACTTAAACAAACAGCTGGCACATCTTAATATTATCATAACACTTTTAGTTGCCTCATTCATTCATTCTGTCTTCACATTGGTCCAAACTGCATAACCTCATTATTTTATAACTCCTCAGCTAAATATAAGCTTAGCAGTAATTACTCTCACTTGACAATTGAAACATACATGTTTTATATTTATCAAATGCATTGCTGCATTTGTACTATTAGTACAAAATAAGCTTTAGGACAGAATACATTTTTCTCACCAATTTAACAGATGCAATAAAATTACTGTATTACAATATTTTGATAAAAGTTCACCAGTTAAGTCATTATTCTTGTTTTGTTTTGTTTTGTTTTGTGTCGTACGACTCTCGTATGATGCTGTCTGTTAATTGTCATTGGCATTATGAACTCTTTGTCATTCAAAATGATCCATTGCGTGTCCTTGCAGTCTTGGTCAGGTGATTACCCGGCTTTATATTCAAAATCAATACAAAATGCATTTAATATTTGTGGAGGCATGAATTGCATTTTAAACTGAATGATTCAATTTTAAAAAGGAGCAAGGGTTGATCAGAAAGTTTTAGTTATACCCTTAAGTACCGTCTTAACTTGAAGAACAAGAAAGCGCCAAAATCAAATGGTACTACTAAAATGTCACTACTAAAATGTCACAAGCACTTTCACCCTGAGCCAGCTGCATCTCTACAGGAAATGGGGGAAAAGTTTACAATCCCAAGGTGCCGCCGAATAATAACAAAAAATGATTTTCATGCACTACTGCATTACACAAATAATGAATGTTTATGAGTACAATGGGAAGAATATTTTCATGAGTTGAAATACCGACTGTTCCATTCGATGAGGCGGAGTCGAGTTGAATGGAACAGTCAAGCTTTCAACGAATGAAAATATTCTTTCCATTGCATGAATAAAAAAACATTCAATATTTGTTTTATAAACACACCTTAAATAGATTCTTGTCATTTGATACTCTGAATGGAGATTATTTTAGTTTGATATTTTCTGAAAAACATCTACCCTTTTTCGAAATGGAACAGTCAAGCATCTTTTTAACCAATTTAAAGTTTGTATTAGGTTGAAGACGTACAATGGAAAAAAAAATAAACGGGTGGTAAAACAATGCACAGATGGAAATAAAAAGGCATGGTCCATGGAACTAAATTTCCATGAGTGACGAAGTGGGGTAAATAACCAATGTCACATGATATGAAATCCACCAATCAAATGACAGGGATCTATTGTGTTAACAAAAAAAATAAATATTCTTACCAACAAATAGCCTGGGAGTACACAATAGCGAGTACATTCTTTGGAATTTCAAATTCCATCTGACCAAGTGCTTTGGCTAAACCAAAATGGAAGTATTTTGCTGCCAGTCTGCAATGACAAAAAAAACCCAATAAGTTTCATGATTAACCTTGTCATAAAACAATTTCATAAGAATAAAATAATGAAAACTGATAACAATAAATAAAAATTGTGCACAGGTATCCATAAAAGATGGTCATAGCACACAAGGATGACCATAGAAAAATAACAATAATGATGGTAGGAAAGAACATATAGTGATTAAAATTGAAAGCGGCCTAAAAAACAAAAGATCTAATGAAGTAATGTATAGGTAATTACGCTAGATGTCTGATCATTATGAATAGCAACAATCATCAGTGACAAAAACATGCAAATTAACATTTTAACATATTCATATTTTCTATATTAGGAAAGCTTTAAAATGATGGGTCATTTAATGATGCTAAAGTTATAAATAAAATGATTACAGTGTCTCTGTACTAAAGCATAAAATAACAGAGAACCTTGAAAAAAGGGATATCAATAGGTACTTTTATGATCTTTCCCCTTTTTTGTGTGTTTTAATTTTTTGTCTTTGTATCTGTTAAAAGGGACCGTGAAGACAAGCCTAGGCTTCTAAACTGGTCCCTCGCCATAGTATTGTATGTTTTCTTTTTTCTGTTGCTCATGGTGAAATAAATGTCACATTGATTGATTGATTGATTGATTGATTTATTTAGTTTGCAAAAGTCCAAAAAAATCCAAAAAAGAAGTACATCTCGATATGGGAATATGGGATTCCTTCTCAAAAATAAGTCCCCACCCCCCCCCCCCCCTCCTTCTTTAGTTTGAAAAAGTAATCCAGAAAAGAAGTACATCTCGAAAAGAAACCCATGGGCTTCTAATCAAGATCATAAGAGCTTCCTTTGAGATAGTACTTACATTCAGACCGACATTCCTTGATTATTTTGACAGCGTGTCAGTATCAATATTTTTTTTTTTAAATTTTACTAGCATGGTTAAAATTTAACAAAACATTAAACAGAATTTTAGAATTTCATAGTTGAAAAATGTTGTATAGTAAAAAATTCTGAAATTTACAGCATTCATTAAGAAAAAGAATCCTCCTATTTAGTTTGCAAAAGTAATCTGAAAAAGAAGCCATCTCGAAAAAGAGGCCCATTTTGAAAAGAGGCCCATCTCGAAAAGAAGCCAATCCAAGGGTCCTATAAGAAGCCCAGGAGTTAGTTCTATTCGAGGTTTGTACGGCACTGTCACATTCTAATACTAATCACTTAGTTTAACAATAATCAACTGTATGGTGGTTTTTGGATGGCAAGCATCCAGTGTTTGTAGTATTTTATATCGACTCACAAATAAATAAGACAATCAACATAAAAATGGTTTGCTGCCCTCTATAGCTGACAAACTTTTTCTTTATAATATATTTGATTAAAACCTACTTTCTTGGAAACTCCCAAAACACGACTACTCCAACAACAGCAACAAAATCAGTAATACACAGTTTGTAAAACTGCTGGCCAATATACGTCTCCCAGCACTGAAATATAAAGGAAATCAAAGCCAATGATGGAAAAATTACATAAAAATTACAATGACATGGAAAATATCTGGATTAAGCATAATATTAAGACACAGGTTAGACTGATACATAGATTAGACATATAAATGGATTAAAATGTTCTATGGATTGGACTACAACATGAAATCAGACTAAAATATGGATTATACTAATACAAGGAAAACAACATGGATTGGACTAAGACATACAATTACCGTCATAATGTTTCAAAATCGTGCAAGTTTGTTGATTGTGTTTCCCATGGTGTTTATAAGTGTTAAGTTTGCCATTTTTGTTAATGATTTTAACACTGTTCTGAATTTGTTGGCACCTTTTTGTATGGATTTTATTATTTTAACTCTAATTAATTAATTTGTTACTTCTTTTGTTTGTATGTGAACTATGATGCTATTTTATGTGATGCAAGATTTTATATTTAATGGATTTTATGTATTTTATTGTATGTATACTGTTGTTTTTTCTCCTATGGAAGCGAATAAATTGAAATAACTATAACACATGAATTAGACTATACATGGAAAACAATAACGCATAGATTATACTAATACATGGAAAACAATAATGCACGGATTAGACTAATACATAGAAAACAATAATGCAACACATTCCTGATGAAGACATAATTAATGTCGAAATATTGAATCCCGACATGATGGCGTGCATTTCGATACTTGGCGTATGTATTATACTATCCAATAATACATGGATTAGACGAATACATGGAAAACAATAACGCATGGATTAGACTAATGCATGGCAAACAATAATGCACGGATTAGACTAATACATAGAAAACAATAATGCAACACATTCCTGATGATGACATAATTAATGTTGAATATTAAATCCCGACATAATGGCGTGCATTTCGGTACTTGGCGTATGTATTATATTATCCAATAATACATGGATTAGATGAATACATGGAAAACAATAACGCAAGGATTAGACTAATACATGGAAAACAATAATGCAACACATTCCTGATGATGACATAATTAATGTTGAAATATTGAATCCCGACATAATGGCGTGCATTTTGATACTTGGAGTATGTATTATATTATCCAATAATACATGGATTAGACGAATACATGGAAAACAATAACACATGGATTAGACTAATACATGGAAAACAATAATGCACGGATTAGACTAATACATAGAAAACAATAATGCAACACATTCCTGATGATGAAATAATTAATGTCGAAATATTGAATCCCGACATGATGGCGTGCATTTCGATACTTGGCGTATGTATTATACTATCCAATAATACATGGATTAGACTAATACATGGAAAACAATAACGCATGGATTAGACTAATACATGGAAAACAATAATCCACGGATTAGACTAATACATAGACAACAATAATGCAACACATTCCAGATGATGACATAATTAATGTCGAAATATTTAATCCTGACATGATGGCGTGCATTTCGATACTTGGCGTATGTATTATACTATCCAATAATACATGGATTAGACGAATACATGGAAAACAATAACGCATAGATTATACTAATACATGGAAAACAATAATGCACGGATTAGACTAATACATAGAAAACAATAATGCAACACATTCCTGATGATGACATAATTAATGTCGAAATATTGAATCCCGACATGATGGCGTGCATTTCGATACTTGGCGTATGTATTATACTATCCAATAATACATGGATTATACTAATACATGGAAAACAATAATGCACGGATTAGACTAATACACGGAAAACAATAATGCACGGATTAGACTAATACATGGACTATTGTATAGTAGCTTACTCTTAATCCACTGCTTGAGCAAAACGAGCAGGTATCATCTTTTTCGTTGTCTTCACAAATAATTTGAGGGTAGTATGAAGCAATAAGCACAGCCAATGAAGCCAGACGCAACAACACAGTTCTGAGAGGCAAAAGCAAAAGCACAGTAACAATAAAATGCGCAAGACAGCAAAATACTACCAAATTAAAAAAGGATGTCGAAGTCTAAGAAAGCATTTAATAAACAACTTTTTCTTACCTTGATAGAGTAAGGTTGATCTCAAATTGTGGGCTGTACTCCTCAAAGCGAACGAGAACATTGAAGATCATGGGAATAATAGCGTTGAGCAAGGTGATGACAATGGAAGGCAGGTAGCTGATGAGTAATGATGCAAAGCTGTTGCTGGTCACTGCAGACTCATTCTCATTCTAAATTGAGAAAATAAAAGTCTGTCCAATATGACAAGTACATGTGATCTGCCCATATATGGATATAATAGGATACCATCATGGCCATATATGAATGTGATGACATCATAATTGTCATAAAAGGGTTATGATAATGGAAGGCAGGTAGCTGAAGAGCAATGATGCAAGACTGTTGCTGGTCATTGCAGACTCGTTTGCATTCTAAATTGAGAAAATAAAACTATCCAATATGACAAATATATGATTGATATGCCCATATATGGTACAATAGAATAATACCATTGCCATATATGGATGTGATGACATCACAATTGTCATATATTGGTTATAACAATGAAAGGCAGGTAGCTGATGAGCAAAGATGCAAGGCTGTTGCTGGTCACTGCACTCATTCGCATTCTAAATTGAGAAAATAAAACTCTATCCAATTTGATCAAATACATGTGATCTGCCCATATATGGGTATGATAGGATATCATCATGGCCATATATAGAAGTGGATATCCTCCCTCGGGAAAGTTTTTATTCCTGGAAATGAGCTTTCCCAACTTCAGCCACCCATTAAACATAAAAGTAACAAGCATTTTGCACACAACAGATAATGTTATAAATATAAAAAAGCCCAAAACAATTGAAAGAATTCATAACAATTCAATTTTGCAAATTAACAGGATTTCTTGAAGACTACAAAAATAGTTTAAGATTAATAATGAATGAATTTATTGAATTATTATGGTTTATATACATAATTAAATAAAAATGAATGGATATTTAGAACCAATTATCACTTTAACAGATTAAATAAAGACTACCTATCAGATTAAATTATTTATTCATAGTTAATTTTATTCTTCGTTCCCATGCCTTCACATATCTGTGGCCTGTATCATCATTGTTTATTCTGAATTATTTACTATCATACTGCCTTTGATCAGTATCTCTCGTTATCTAAATTACTAAATGCCATTTTCTATGACATGGTGGTAGATTTGTCCATGGAGGTTTCTGTCTTATAATATTAAATAAGTACTGATTTATAATCAAAACTGCTTAAAAGGTAATTGGCAAAGACCTTAAACCCTACATTATTATTGAGAAGGAGATCACTTGAAAAAGCTCAACGCACGCAGCGCTGTGCAATTGGGCCTAGAACAAAGCTGCCGCAGCGCATGAAGAACGTTGCCTTTGTAGTCTAATGTGTTCCCTGCCACCAAATGCTAGTTTACCATAAAATTGAACATGGCGAAATGGAGAGCACCCTTTTTCTTAATACGCACTACTTACAGTTAATCACTATGGCTGTGCAAGTGTTTCCACTTTGAAGCTAATACATTTACCTTTCAAAAAATACCAAATATATTAAAATTTTCTACAAAATAGAGTTTTGAATTTTATGAAACATTTACATGAACTTTAGAAGTATGGTATATGGGCAGTTCCACCGAAAGGTCAACCTCGTCATCAAATTTTCATATTTACCGCACCTACCCAAGTGAGGTGTCATTTTGAAGCTCATCAAAAATAATAATATAATATAACTTAACTTAATAATTTAATTTGGTGTTCAATGTGTTCCATATGTGTTTGATCCAATGACCGGGGTAGTAATTTGAAGCGCTTAGAGGCTTTGTTAAGGCATTAAGCGCTATATATGAATGATATATTATTATTATTATTATTATACTATATACTTCCTGGTACACACAATTTTACATGAATTTTTATATACATTATATATAATTATTGGGTTTGAAGTTAAGAGTATCAAATTTATGCATTTAAAAAAAAACATGTAAATTGACACATAACTGTTTAAAACAAGTTAAACACTTTATTTATGATGAATTACTATTTTATATCAAAGTGTACTAAAAAAAATATCTGCCAGACAATAAAAAAAAGAAAAATAATCGTAAGAGTTTGCATTAATTCAATTTTAATTAGAGTAATGTACCACTAAACATCTTGTATACAGCGTGGAAACTAAAAATCTACTAATGCACTTTCTCAGAGAGAATCTTTATCAACTTTTACCATAACCATGACAACTATCTGCCCTCTAGCTTTTATAATTCATGAGTAATGTTCTAAAAATAGCCGGTTATGGACGTACGCAGAGAAAATGACTTTTTCAAACATACATTTAACATTATAAAATCTCTGTGAGAATTTTTTAGTTGATTAAAGAATGTTACAATATGAGGCTTGCTATTCCAAAAATCAGTGACCAAAATATGAAAATTGACTTTTTAATATTCTTATTCTCCACACTATACTGTAAGCTTTAAAATGATGGGTCATAATGGAATCGATTTTATTATTGCCAAAGTTATGAGTAAAAGTATTATGACTTCCCTGTACTTAAGTATACAATACTGCAATATTCTTATGATACACTCAGTTTAATACAGTAAATAATATTGCTGGTTTTGTGATGGCAAGAGTCCCTTGGCTTATGAAGTGGAGTTGTTTTTTGGTCGTGAGAAAAGGTCCTGCTGTGACAGGAATTGTACCTAGGACCGTGGGATGAGAACACATTAACCACTAAGCTATTCAACTCCATTTCCAATTTTATTAATAATTTAAATTATATTAGAGACTTTTATTCCAAACTCTACCATATTTCAAAAGATAATGAATAGCATATTGTACCCTGTGTATTATTCACAACACGTTTTATTTAATTTCATACTTTTTCATATTTCACAATATCCGACAACTCATGTAGCTATGTATAGTTCATTGATATTCATATTGTATATGAATAGTTAATGAACTATACATAGTTTATTGATATTCATTGATATTCATATTGTATTTTATATATATTGCTGTTTTACATTATAAGCATCTTCTTATTCATGGAGTAAAGAGCATCTCAATTTAATTAGAAAGGCATTGATAAGAAATTTTGAAGAAATTATATTTTCATTTTCGTATTATTGCATTATTCACATGATTTAAAATACTTTGGTCATTATTTTGAGCTCCAAATTTCAGCTCTAATTTCCAAGCGGTTTTTAAGTTATGACCTTTTGAAATTTAGGTACCACGCCCCCTTTTTCATGCCAGAAATGGCTCCTTTAACTTGTACGGTTTTTACGAAGCTATATCTCTGGAAATAACGAAGATAAAAAGTTGGAAATTATTACATAGACTGAAATTTGGCCCCTTTTCAAGAATTACCATTCAAATTCAGGTAGAATATTTCATTAGAATGTTATATTCCCCCCAACATCCCACGATGCATTGAGAGAAAATTATTTTTTTGCCTTTTCGCAGGGCTGTATCTTATCATTCTTTTAAGTAAGGAAGTCCAAATTAAACCTATGATGAATGTTCTCATATTACTACATATAAAAGTTTGCAAAGTAAGTATAGCAATACTGAAGGTATGATAGTGTCCCCAAAATGGTTGCAGGACCATTGACCCTGAAAATACCCACTACTTTGACTGGATGTTAACATGGAAACTTGATTTTAATTATGAAATTTATACCAGTACACAGATACACACATCATCTAGAAAGTTTAAACTTTGTTTCTCAACTCCTTATGTATGAACTGATTTTTTTAAAAATAGACAAATTTTAATGTATTCTTAATATCAGGTCAAAGTTCAAGTCACAAATACTGACTTATTTGTGATTTGAACTTTGACCTGATATCTATAATACACTACACACAAATAAAGAGGAAAATCGACTTGCCCAAACTAGAACCCTTGTCCAATGTAAAATACTTGTAGAATGTTTTTGATAACTTAATCATGAAATTAGGACATGGACTACAAATTGTTTTACAGGAAAAGCCGTATATCAAATAATAGTAGAACCTCTCCATTGGACACTCCTATTAAGGGGAATACTTTCTTGGGCAGCAAACAAGGGGAATCTTTTAACACTACACCCAAACCCTATCAGGGTATACCCCTAAACAAATTTACACTTTTTGGTCCTGAAGGTGTCCCCTGAATAGGGGTTCTACTGTAATACTATATAGTAGTAAATTTATCTCTTTACAACAAAATCTTACATGTATACAGTAACAGGGATTTCATAAACCACCATATAAAATTGTATTTTACAAAATGGTTGGGATACTCTATTGAATACAATGTAGTAGTTGCCATGTAGCTTAATTGTTAAGATCCTTGCCTTCCAATCCCAGTGACAGTAATGAGACTTAGTTTATAGAGCATCGCATTATTTTCATTTATTATGAGGGCCCTGAATATCAGCTTTACCTTGAAGAGTAAGCTGGAAGTATCACCCTCTATAAATATGATATAAAAAAAAGAAAAGAAAAAGAGAGCCACTTACCAGGACAGCCAACTCGGATGTAAAATAGATGAGATAGCCAGCACCTCCTAAAATCACCAGCACAAAGAAGTTGACGATGAAACGAACAATGACCAGACCAATTTTCTTGCCAATGGTTCTTGACTGGCGCTTGAGGATCAATCGCTCTTCCTCAAGGACACTCTACAAATGATATACATAGAAAAAAGAACAATATTAACACGTTGGCTGCCAGCAATGGGTATACTCGTCACACAGGGTGTTCCTCAGGGTGCCAGAGACGACTATACTTCTCAAAATCGGGGTAACATTCTAGCATTTATTACTTCTTTGTTATACATTGTAGAACCAGAGACTTAACGGCTTGTAGTTCGGGGAATATACACCTACACGATAATGTGCGAATGACATATGAGGCAGGTTGAGGCAAAATGGCTCAGTTGTAGCAAAAACTGAAATTCAAGTTATTGGTATTTTCAGATACCTGAGTATGTGATCTTTAAAATGAGGGGTCATTCATTCAAATTGGACATTTCAAGCCTAAGTTATTGGAAAGTGAAAGTACATTACTTTTAGTTTCAAGATAAACATGATTTTGAGTAATTGACTTTGAAAGTTATTTGTGCATACATTGTTTAATAGAATGAACTATCAAAATAATGTTAAATAAACAATTTGTTGACCACTTCCAGAGCTAATATTTTGGGACATGATTAATAAGACATTAAGCTGTTGATCTATAGCGAAAAACAAATTTGGATTTTTAGGAAATATTTTGAGCTCAATACTGGACTGTGCAACAACTTAACCATTTCGCCACGACATGCCTCATATGTATGTTTGTCGTGTTATGTTGCCGGCAATACACTTGAGTAGCACAAATGGGGGCGTCCTTTGAACATATACCAACCCGTGTAAAAAGCTGACAAGAAAACTAGCATCTGGTATAGTCAATAAAAAGTCCTGTCACAGTGCCATATTTGGGCCTAAAGTAAGTATTCTAAAAATATAAAACACTGATCAAAAAATGTACATGAATAACCATTACTTATCTGATGTTTATTTATTGAAAATAATTTTTTTAAAAAGTAATTTAATTATTTTATAATTTCAATTATCTATTTTCTAATTTCAATTACCTTGACCTTTCACTTTTTACATTTTTTTTTAAACTAATATTTTTATATAATAGCTAATCTTGTACTTAAGTTTAGTTTTCTGGGGTTCCAGACTTTTGTCATGGTGACTTTGTTGCTTTTTGGGCCCCAGGGCACATGTATAAATAAATAAATCATATGAGATAAAAATAAATAAATGAGATTAAATCAATATTTTAAAAAATTAACCTTATAATATCTTGTTGAAATCACTACTGCTCTCCAACAGGTAAATTCTTCATTATGAGTCATACATGTTAGAATTTAATATTATTTCAAAATAAATAAAGAAATAAGCAATCATAACAAGCCTTATTTTTTATCAACTTATATAATTTCATCAATGTCTCCATTCCATTTCAGTGTTGGTGAGTAAACATGATGAATAAATGATGTAGGAAGTATTCATGAACGATGACTTACGGTAAGGTCATAGTGGATGCTACTGTGCTTAAGGTAAGCATTGTTTGTGTCATTCAATGAGCAATCCCAACTGCCAAACACTTTGTTGCAATACTTGTAGTAACGGTCTTCCTGATTGGCTAAATTTTCCTTGAAGCCTCTACCAGTGCTGTTGAAGGGAAGTGATTGGTAAAATATGATTAATAATAAGTCGTATTATTATTTACTTTATTAGGCAAGACTTTTTTATACCTTGTTTTTGTGAACCCACCACCCGCAAATAATGATTTTGAATAAGAATAAAATTTAATTTTTCGCCAATTAGCGCACACGCCACTATGAAAAAACAGAGATTATTACATACGCCGATGCCTTGAATTTGCCAAAAATAAAGATGTATATATATTCCTAATTATATAAAATAAGCAATTAACCATCCCATTACTAGACTTTTAACATTCACTAATAAAATTTATTTTTATTTTCTCCTCCGTTTACAGTCTGTCTCTTATACACATCTAGATGTGTATAAGAGACAGTTTCAAGCCTAAGTTATTGGAAACTAA